GCTAGATTTCAACAACCTGACCTGACACAGTTAGAAATTAGTTGTGTGTCTCTTTAGGGAGCTACAAACATCCACCCGATTGGGCAGCTTGAGCTTAAGAGTGAGAGGTGAGAGAAACAAGAGTATTTCTAGACTGCACAGCCCCCACCTGCACAACGTGGTATAAAATAACTGTGTTCATACCAGACACATCGGAGCACTTTTGGGAATCCACCATTAAAGCATCAAATACTTCAAAGTCAGTTTTCTTCACTTGAATGATGTTGTTAACTGTGCCAAGCTGGCTGGTTACTATTGGCTGGGAAGAGACAGACAGGCAGACATCATAACGTGGAAGGTCTCTGGGTTTTTCTTTATAGAGGATTTAGAATTCCTGGCTGGAGGGGCTCAGCTCCTGGCTAGCTGACCTGCTCCTCTCTGTCAAGTATGCCAGTAGACTGACAATTAGCACTGCTGTCTAGCTCAGCCACACACAGGGACTTTTACCAGCAGGACAAAGGGACCTAGCAACGGTCTGTAAGGGAAGGTGACTTATTCGGATTATGCAGACTGAGGGCGGAAGGAAGAGTACCTCAGAAGGGTCGTGTGTCCACTGACCATCCACAAAGAACTTGTACTGATGTTCTCCTTCCGGCAGATCCAGGATGGCTACAAAGTTATTGTGGCTGCAAGGAAAACGAAGCAGATGTTTTCAGCTGGGCGAGCTGCCCCCATAGCTCACTTACAAAGCCAGCCACAGAACAAAACCTTTCCGCGTAAAACCAAGAGTTCAGTCACGGGAGAATAAACATTTTTAAGCAATTTAGACAACTCAATAAAATGATCTCAATCTAGAAAACGTACAAAGCAGCAGCAGCAATACAAGAGGTTTTCTTGAACTTACTTTGCTCAAATACCAGGAACCCACAATCCTACCATCAAAAGGTCAACAAACAGGCACTTGTCCTTGTCAACTCGCAAGCGAAACGCCACCTGGCAGACTGGATGCCAAGGAGGCTGGCAACATGAGATCAACAGCCCGCTGCCAAGTTTTATCCTTTGTCAGTTTGCCTTGGGCCGGAGAGGGGATCAATTTAATAGGATGCACAACGATTTAATAGGATGCACAAATAGTTCTCCAAAGAAGCTGGCGTAACTACTGAAGAGGTTCCAGAAAACCTCTTTCACTTGATTGTTTTGTTCCCTTGACTTGAAGTGACTTGTAACTGTGCCCAGCAGCTCCCTGTGCACTAACATTAGCGCTGGAAAAGCAGGCAGTCCCCCGACAATGATCAAGCCTGGCCCAACAGGGAACGATTTCTCCCTGTTTCATCAAGAGTACTCACTAGTGAAGATGCTTTTTCACTGCCAATTTCAGAGGAAGTCCATGCTAGAGTTCCCAATAAGTTGCTTTACTGTGTAGTCTTGCTAAGGTTGCCTACGTGACATGTACCTTTCAACATTAGAAGGAACCTCAGAGATCATCTGGGCCAATACTCCCTCTTACAGATAAGAACACCGAGGCTCAGGTTAGCTCCGCCAATGTGGACTCAAATCCTGGTCCCGAAGATTCCCAGCCGGGGGCTCTCTTCACTGGACTAGGAATAGATTTCTCTCTCTGAAGAACAAGTCCTGCCTGAACAAACACACAACCTACTATCTGAAGCGGAAGATGTCTGTGAAACACAAATGCTTGTAACCCAGAGAGGTTTTCTCTCAGTGCGCTCTGAACCTGGAGACCACTTGGGGTGTGAGATCTGAACCCTATGAATTATTTTTCCGTTCAGCATTCATTTCATAAAAACATCCCTTTCCATCCACCCGCAGAGGTCACTGAGAAACAGAATTATCTCTGGGTTCAGATGTGAATACTCCCCGGACAATTACCTTCTTGTGAGGGGAAGTTTACTCCAGTTGTTAAAGGACCCAGATAAGTACACTTCCTTTCCGCCCCCTGTCCATCGAAATACAGTTGGCCGAGCCTGGGCAGGGGCTTTATCATTCACTTCCAGATCATGCTGCCAGGCCAGGAATTCCTCCTTCTCTGGAGCCTAGAAATAGAGCAGTTTACTCAGGGACAGGAAGTCATTAATGAGCTCCTTACACTGACAGGTACCCCAACACTGACAATTCCTTCCAAAGAGGCAGCGGTTACCACCGAGGATCATATTCAGGCTTGTTAACGGACTAGCTGTGCCTCAGTTTCCCCACTTGCAAAATGGAGATAATAAGAACGATTTCTTAAGAATATTACGAAGACTGAGAAAGTCCATGTAGAATGCTCTGCATAGTGTCTAACACATAGGAAGTGTGTTACAAATGATTAGCTACTCTTGTTCCTAAAAGAGAGCTACATTAAAATTCTAGGAGAAACTATAAAACTCACTTGGAAGAAGGCTGCAATGAATTCCAGACTAGCTTAGTAAAGGTCATTTTCTTCCCTGAATTAAGCAAGATTTTGAAATCCATGAAAATTTATTAGGTAGTAATTCCAAAGCTGTCACCTTGACAATTGCCAAATCCAGATTCTAAGGAAGGTTAAAACTATTCACTGAGTGTTGTCCACACGCGGGAGAGAAAGATGAAGGCAAATACTGACCTTCATTATGGTCAAAAAAGAACTTCTAGTGTAGGAAGCGATGTGTAACTGAGGTGTTCCAGAATAAGAGAAATAAATATGTCCAATTCTGGGTGAAATATCTGTGGCTTTGGATCTTTTACATTTTTCCTAATCAGAAGCCAAAGAGCTGGATGGGAGAGAGCCTAAAAGGTGCCTACCGGGCTTCGGGCACCTTTATTTCAAGTACTGACCTGAGCATATCTTAAAAGATGCCTGCATTCTTTGAACTTAAAAAGATATACAGATTTAAGAAGAACAGACTGGAATCACTTTCTACCGAGGATGTGATAACTAACCATTGCCAAAAGGGTAAACGAGGGTAGTTAAAAGAATCCGAGATTTTATTTATTTATGTATTTTTTTTTTTGCGATTGGGGCATTCTATCCTGTGTGTCAGCTACATCATTTCAGTAACTTCTGAGGAACTGATAATGGACTATTGAAAATCATTCTCCACAGATCACCTGTATGCTAAACATTTCCTACAGGAGTTTTGGAGCCGCAACAGAACAAGTATTTCTTGAAGAAAGTATGTAGTTTGAGTCTTATGATGTCTTAATGAGCCATCCTTGGGCCAAAATTATTTCTCAGGAAAGGGATGTCGAGTCGTTGGAGAAACAGGATTTCAAAGTTCACGCTGCACATAGCTCCTCAGGAATGCAACCGATTCAGAAAAAGCAAGTTCCCATCACAGGATGTAAGGCCAAGTAAAAGCAGTCTCTTTCTAGTTAGACTCAGGGCCAAGATCCAAGTGAGGATGTAAGATGATCATGTTATCACCCAGCTCAACATCTGAGAAAAAATGTGAGTCAAGCTAGAATAAGCTGCCCGGCGATGAGCCTAATGGACAATGATGATTCGTATACAACTGACCACTAACAGAGACTATGTTGGGCTGGGGGAAAGGGGTGGGCGTGCACCTTCCTTTTTCCTAAACCAACTTGGCGGCACTGTCCTTAAGAAGTTATTTCTTGGGTTTTAGGCTACACCCCATACACATCAGCTGCCAGAATCACTAAGCGTCCTTGGACCAGGCTTTGCAGTTGGAACACACCACATCGGGTGGCTAACAGGAGCTGAAGCAGGAGTCGAGGATCACCTTCGGAGTTTTTTGATCAAGTGAAGCAGCCTGCGGCAGGATGCTCACATTTGGCCAGCAAAAAAATGTTTGCTTTGGCCTCTTGACAATATGAAGTCATTGAAACAACAGGGGAAGAGAAGATGAGTTGCCAGCTGGCCCCGCCTCCTTCAGACTGACACTTCGCTCACCCATCGACCCTCCCTCCCCCCAGAAGTCCAATTCCTTTTCTGTGCCGACTCTAAGCAGAGTGAACCAAACATATTAGGCAGAACTCACTCAACACCTCTGGGGTGTGCTCTGGTTTACCGGCAACATTGGCAATAAACTGCAAAAACAACTATTACAAAAACTGCCCGTCTTCCTAACGGTGAGTGAGGGACGATTTCTCAGAGCCGTGAAATTAGAATACCGAAGAGAAAAAGCAGAGACCGGGACGGTTCCTGCACGATGTTAATTAAGAATTTGAAGCTGTCCCAGAGCCGCTTTCTCCTTAATCATGTCAAACCAAGTGAGTTCCTCCTCCCTCGGGGTGATTTTCTCCTATCGGTAATTAGACACTGGCTCCTGGACTGCAAGGGCTCTTACCGAGCCAACTGGCTTTTCAGTGGCAGAGGGTGAGTTATCACCTCCCTCCCGCTTCTGATGATGAGTGTGAGAGGGGTTGTGGCAGGGACCCGGAGCTCAACGTTAGGCAAGGGGATCGGATTCCCCCACCCCGCCTCACCTTGATTTCCTCCGAGTGGAACAAGTCGGCGTCCTCGGGGCTGTCCATCAGGATCTTGGGCCGGTCCCCATCCTTGGAGCCCCCCGAGCTGTCCCTTCGGGGCGTCTTATGGCCGCCCTGCCGCTCCAGCGCGGCGCGCTCGCTGCTCGTGTTGCCCATGGCGGGGGGAGGAGAGGGGGTCTACCGGGACACCAAGAAGCCGGACCGGGCCTCACTCCAGGGAAAGTACAGGGGACTCCTGGGATCAGGGAGTCACAAGGACCCTAAGGAAAGAATCGGAGCACCGGGTACCGCACCGCTCGGCTTAGGGTTCCTGGCCGGGATCCGGTTTGAGCCGGATCAGCAGCACTGGCAAGTTTTCACAATCGCGCTTTTACCTGCTCCGGTACCGGCGGCGCGAACTCTAAGCTCCAAGACAACCCCACAGTCTTCCCAACAGCTCCCCCCCCGCCCGACGTCTTAGCAATTTCCGCTTCCGGCACTTCCGCAAGGCGGCGGGACCCACGGGGCGGGGCCCACGGGGCGGGGCGCCTGGTGGTGCCGGCGAAGCGCACGAGGCTAACTCTTCCTTACTTCCGCTTCCGGTCAGGATTGGCGCGGTCGCTGGCGCCCAGAGGCGGCCTCCTTGGGCTTCGGAGCGCGCAGTCGCAGTTGGCAGATGCGGCCGACCCAAGACGAGGTTGCTGAAGGCCGGCAGGGGGCGCACCAGCTCGCCGACCGCCTGGGCCGCCCTCCCTGCGCAGGGGTGAGTGATGCTATTTAGGTATCTTAGATATTTTTGCCCACTTCTAGTTGGTTCTATGCTCTACAACCAAAGGGCTCGTTCTAAAGGGCAAATCTAATTAAGAGACTCGTTTTGTTAAGTCCTGTAATGCGCTAGCTCTCACACCATTGAGAATCACCTCGAGTATAAAATGACAGATCATGAGATTTCTGGAAATTTCTCGCGTCTCGCTTGGGGACTGTAAAATGTTGCAGTTATTAAGTGTATTTTTTAAAAAGTGAATGCACAGCCTTTTGAGAGGTAATTTTGCAAAATATTTTGTAATCACTCTGAATACATCATACTGCATAAAATGTATTTATTTATTAGCGCTTGTCATTTTTACTTGGGCAGTGCTTCAGCAAGAAGTGTGTAAACGTGATATTAAAATAGCCCACTCTTATCACTGTCAGTCACTGTCGTAGTTTTCTTGTGTGTGGGTTTTTTGTTTGTTTTAACAGTTTTGTTTTTGCCTGTGAGTATCTCAGAATGCTTTGCGTTTGCTGGGCATGGTAATGAATTTTGTCCACTGAACAAACATTTATTTAGTACCTACAAAGTGCCAGACATTGTGCCAAGTAAATGGGAGAAACAAATGACTAAGATATGGTCTCCTCGAGGGGGGAATTCGGCAGTACTTATGAAAGTAAAAAATGCACCTTTATTTTGGTACACAATTTTACTTGTAGGAAACTTCTACAGAAATACACACATGAAAATTACATGCAAGCATGTTCATTGGCAGCATTGTGTCTAGTGTCGTAATACATGAATTCTGAGATGCACATTTTCATCTCTCTGGAACTGCAAGCTTCTTAACAGTCAGTGGAATCTTAGATTTGATGAAATAAGGAAATGAAAAACTGCAAAATCCTAAAAAGTTTGTTAGCAGGAGAATGACTTAATAAATTAAATACATTCATTTTATGGACTACTGAGTAACCTTTAAAAAGGAAGAAAGAAAAAAATAAAGCAGATAGAATATTTAAAAATATAGAAAAACGGAGGACAGAGGATTACATGGGTAATTATATGGAGAAGTGCTGTTGACATTCTAAATCCCAAAAGCAAGTGGCAGAACAGTGGAGGCTAAGAGCATGAGCTCTGAAGTAAGCCTGCCTCCATTCAAATTCTGGCTTGACCACTTAGGAACTGTCATCTTGGTTTCCTCTTTTGTGAAATGGGGAATTCAAATAACACCTACCTTGTAGGTTTGTTTTGTGAATTAAAGTGCCTAGCATAGCACCTGACTTAGTAAACATTCAATAAACGTTAGCACTTTTATTGGCCTCATTATGCTTGCAAATTGAAAGTTCTGGAAAGATGTACAACACGCTGTTAACAGGGGTCCCCTCTGGGAAGAGAAGCGGGCTTGGAAAAGGAGCAGATAGAAAGGGAACTTTCACTCTTTAGTTTATTGTTTGAAAAATGTTCTACCTCAAGGATATACTACTTTTGTAATTTAAAAACAATTTTCAAAAGACAAAATAAGCCATGGTTTCCAGCCTGAAGAGGCTCCATAGAGTAGAGGTGGAAACAGACTCACAGAAAGGCAATAATACAGGTAGGTGAGAGGTCCTAGGGGAGCCCAGAAAGGACTCAGGCTAGGCCAGCGGATAACCCAGGATGCATCTTTTGAGCTGTTTTTCTTGCTTCTAACAGTCAGGACATGAAGATGATAAGTGTTGGTCCTCTCCCAAACAACTTGAGAGATAAGGAAGAACACATGAGCTGTGCACCCCTCATCTGAACTATGCAGATAGATGCTTTCACCCATGAAGAAAGTATCAAGACTTCTGCTCTGCCTTGGATAAGGTAACTGATATCCCGTGGGTGCTTTCTGTGTGTTTTCAACCAGTGAGATAGCCCAGTAACTGGGGCTAGGCAGGTACCCTGCTTAGGAGTGCTTACCCAAGCGGGCAAGTAGTATCTGAGATTCCACCTGCCTGGAAGAACGGATGCCTTTTTCTAATTTATAAAAAATACACCATAGGGACTAGCAGTGACTCTGGCCTTGGTTAAAACAAAAATAAAAATAAAACCCGGGGCTGGTCCTAAGTCAGATGGTAGAGGTGTATAGTTTATCCTTTTCCAATTCATTTTATACACACTGTTTTGCAGGATGATACCTCCACCCTGACCATCAGAACCTAATCAGGTGATGACACTTGGTTCTAGTAAACATTTAATTTTTAGAGGCCTTCGGTTTTCTAACTTCAGGAATTCATCTCTTTATCAGTAATTATGTATGGTGCAACTACTATCTGCCAGGCACTTTGGAAGACCTGGGGAAAGAATAATGGCCAAAACTAGACCCATGCTCCATGCTTAGTGCTTATGATCTAGTCGGGAAGAGATAGATACATTAATCAAATAATCATCTAACAGTCATCTGTGACAAATGCTAGGAAGGAGAAATGAGACCTAGTGAGAGGGATGTGACCTAGTCAGGAAGTTGGGGAAGGCTTCCTGGAGGAAGTGACAATTTATTTGAGATTTGAAGACCATAGGTGTTAACAGTGAAATTTGTTTATCAAGCCCTATTTTGCATGTGTCATTGTGCTTGATACATCAACTCGTAATTCCCCAAGAGTCCTGTGTGGGATTTACTGTTATTATCATTTGTATTTTTTTTTTTAAGATTTTATTAGGGAATTGGGGGAGTGGAACAGCATTGGGGAATCGGGGAAGGGGAACAAATAAGTTACTGTCCTTTAGTTCTTCAGTCTAGTTGTGGAGGACATTGCTTCACTGGTCCATGTTGCGCTCTTCCCGGGTGAGGCAGTCACTTGCTGGCCATTGGATGGTGGCTCACGGCAGCTCACGGCAGCTCACGCTGGCTGCCGGCCACGCCCACTGCAGCCTGTGCTGTCGCTGGCCACTCACGGCAGCTCACCTCCAGGTCGAGCTGTTGTTCACCATCTTAGCTGTAGAGGGCGCAGCGTCACTGGCCCATGTGGGTACCAAACCGGTGGCCCTGCTGCTCAGAGCTCACACTCCCAAGCCAACTCTTAACCAACTGTGCCACTCAGCAGGCCCTCATTTGTATTTTATAGGTAAAGAAACTGAAGGTCAGAGAGGTAAAGTGACTTGCTCAAGGTCACACAGCTAGGAAGTCATGGAACCAGTATTCAAACTCAGGCAGCCAAACTCATGTAGAAATGTAGGCATCATGGAAAGAACATTGGGTGAAGGGTGAGATTATTCCGGGCAAGCCCATGGGTCAGGCTGATCAAGATTATAAATAGAAAGCTGGAATGGTCACTTAGCAAAGGAGTCAAACTAGGTGTTTTGTTTTTGTTTTTGTTGTGTTGTAACATCTATGACTTTTATAACTATGGATCCATGATTCTAATTTTTACCAAATTCATTAACATCTGAAAGTCGGAGGTCGTGAATTGCTTGGTGTAAGATACTAAATCAAGAAGGTGGGATCACTTATTAAATAGTGAATAAGGTTAACAACCAATGATAGTAACCCTGACAGGCAATGCCCTCATCATCCCCTAGGTGGCAATAAAGAGCAATGAGAAATATTCCCAGGATCGTCCAAGAACTTAAACGTTTGCATTTGTAGGTATGAATGAACATGGTAAAAACTTCAAGTAGCATAGGAGGTATTGAATAAAAAACAAAAGTCTCCCTCACACCTCATTCTAGATCCCTATGTCCTTTTCCCCCAAATAACCTGTTGAGAGTTTCTTGTATACTTTTGGGGGGACTATTTTGTTACAATTATATCCCTTTTCCCTCAAAAAGTGTTTGCTTAGATCTCTGTCCTTTAAAAAACCGACACAGTTGAGACTTTTTCCCTCCACCCCCCAGTATGTTTTCATGTCAATACATACGCATCTCCCTCATTTTTTTTAATGGCTGCAGATTCCATAACAGTAATAGTTGACATTTATAGAGTGCTTACTGTATACTTGGAACTGTCCTCAGCACTTTCCTTGTTTTAACCCACTTAATCCTGACAAAGCCCTATGAGGTGCATTCTATTATTATCCCTACTTCACATATGAGGAAACTAAGGCATGGTGGGTAAGTAACTTGCCCAAGATCACAAAGCCAGTATGTGATGGACCAGCATTTAGATGCGGGAAATTTGACTCCCGAATCTATACTCTTAACTACCATGCTAAACTACTGTAGCATACGTGTACTGTATTTGACTTCATCTCAATGTTCTCAATACTCTTAAAAAAGTATTTACCTTTTTAAAAATTGTGCTAAAATATGCTGCTGTAAAATACACCAGGGATTTTGATTTTATTCATGTACAGTAAGGCCAACAGATCAGGAGACAACTGCCATTGAAAAGATAGTTTATTCCTGTCAGTTCCCAGGAGGAAGGGTATGCCACGCCACGCAGAGCCACAAGAGAGAAGAACCCTGAGGTTGGGTGCAGGCAGAGCGAGAGGGAAGCACGTGCAAAAAGCCCTCGTTGTGGTTTCTGAGCAAAAGAATGTGTGAGGAAAGGCAAGCAGCTGAACAGGTTTGGGGATTGGATAGTCTGAATAATTTCGGTGGGCTCTGGGCTGTAAGGGGAGGTCGCTAGTTGTCTGGTACCTGCCCTGGGATGATTAGGACAGAGGCCTCCTGAGGGTAAAAGCCAGAGAGGGAGGTGGTTCAGAGAATGGACTCTGGATTGGTTGGTTTGCATATTCCAGGCAAGTCACTTTCTATCAGTGGATGTTACAACCTCAGGAGGGGCAGTCTCTCCCTCCTTGGTCACTGAGGCCCCAAGATGCTAAAACATCATAAAATATAGAAAATAAAAAACATGATGAATACATGTATATAACATAAAATGTATCATTTTAAACATTTTTAAGTGTACAGTTCAGTGGCAGTAAGTCCATTCACATTGTTGTGCACCCAACACCATCATTCATTTATCTCCAGGACTCTTCATCTTGCAAAACTGAAACCCTTATCAAATGATACCTCCCCATGGTCCCCTTCCCTGAAGCCCTTGACAGCTGCTATCCTACTTTCTGTCTCTATGAATTTGACTATTCTAGGGACCTCCTGAGTGGAAGCACAGCATTTGTCATTCTCTGACTGGCGTATTTCACTTAGCATAGGGCCATCAAGGCTCACCCATGTTACAGCAGTGTCAGAATTTCCTTCCTTTTTAAGCCTGAATAATATTCCCTTATGTGGATGACCATATTTTGTTTATCTGTTCATCCATCGATGGACACTTGGGCTGCTTCCACCTTTTGGCTATTGTGAATAACGCCACAATGAACGTGGGTGTACAATATCTCTGAGCCCTGCTACCACATTCAGAATGTGGTAATTCTGTTTTTAATTTTTTGAGGGACTGCCATACTGTTTTCATAATGGCCGCCCCAGTTTATATTCCCACCAACAGTGCACAATGGTTCCAGTTTCTCCACATCCTCCTATATTTTCTTCAGAAGTTTTATCATTTGGGGTTTTACATTGAGATCTATGATCTGTTTGAGTCAGTTTTTATGTATGATGTGAGGTATGGGTTGAGGTTTATTTTTTAGAATATGGATATTCAATTGTTCCAGCACCATCTGTTGAAAACACTATATTCTTTCCCCCATTGAATTCCTTTTGCATTTTTGTCAAAAATCAATTGATCATAGATGTGCAGGTCTGTTTTTCAACTCTGTTGTTCTATTCATCTATGTGTCTATCTTATCACAATACCACACTTTATCGAAAACTGTAGCTTTATTGTGAGTCTTGAAATCAGGCA